CAAGGGGAACTGTACGAAAAAGAGCCAGTGGGGAAGTGCCAGAATGAGAGTGAGGGAATAAAGGATCGATTCAGACCACTTGCTGTCCTGGAACATCACAGGTTTGTACCAGCTATGACTCTGGGGCAGAAGCCTCCCTGACCCATAACCAAGCCCATATTCCACTGCTATGACAGTAAAACACTGATTTACATCAGCCAAAGATCTGTTTCAAATTCTTACTTGGCATCTCTTGTGGTTTGGTCTTGGTTTGGGAAACAGTAATGAGATGGTTATCTCATTACTGCTGGTCCTGAGCTGGCCACCTGTCTGTCACCAAAGCAGTCAGAAAACCCCCATCTGGCAATTTCTGTGGGTGTTGAATCTTGCAGGTGCTTTTCTCAGCCACATTTTGGGATGAAAACAAACCAAACCTATGCACCTGACTTTCAGAAGGCCTTCAAATATGTTATAAGGCTGGTATTGGGTGGAGGTACTCATCTGAGCCGAGAATCTAGTCTTAATTTTTCCACTAATGCTAATGTCCACCAGCATCACTGTCACAGGAGCTGCCCTCATCTTTTCTGACACATCACACAACAGATCTCACAAATCACACATCACACAACTGATCAAGAGTTGACTGTGGATCTTGCAGAAGCTTTGCCTCTGGCTCAGGCTCTGTCTCTTGTACCAAACACAGCACCTTCCTCTGTGGGAGCACGTTGCTGCTCATGTATGACATTTTCCAAGCCCACAGGAACTATTGACCTTTCTCGCATCTATCCTCATTCTTGTCTACGTTCGCTGGCTGTCCACTGAACAAATGAATGGCACTGATCTTCACAGGAGATGTCAGGACAGATAACGTGGCCAAGGAGAAAAGATGGGGAAAATGTTTCTAGAGTTTCCCTTCCAACCCCCCTAAAGGTGTTACTGTGATGGAGACATCAAAAATGCCAATAGGTAGCTAGATGAGATGGATTTCCTGTAATCTCAGATTCATCATATTTCACCTGTTACTCACAATCGCAAGCAGTGAACTAACAAGAGGTCTGTGTGGGCTGGAGCAGAATTCCTGTCTGCAGAGAGTGCTGTAGCTCATACTGATTGGGTGTTGCACAGCTGGAGAGGTGTGCTCCGACCCAAGCAATCTGTAGGCACAGCTCTCGGCTTTTCTTATCTGCAAAGAGCCTACCACCAACAAAACCACAGCACTGTAAGAAAGCAATGAACAGAAATGTCAGTGGAAGAGAGGGTGGGTGGAAGGGGAGATGAACTGTGCGCCACCACCTCAAAAGGGCATGAGTTTGATTCTCAGAGGAAAGCAAAAGTGGCTATAATCTGCAGAGATCTCTTCAGACACTTGGGACCCTCAAGCATGGCAGAATCCAGCATTGGAAATATATTCTGCTTCTGATAAGTAGCCAACTCCCACAACACAAAACATGGCCATTGTAAGGTAGGAGACTGAAGCCCTCTTGAAAACCAGCTGCCTTCTCTGAAGAATGATAATAGTCCCCGTGTCTAGGACAGAGAGACCTACTTCTCTTTTCCACTTCAGTAAGCATTAGTTACACCTGGGTTCTTCAATCTCAAAGCTCAACAGAGAAGCACAGACTAAACCTAACACCAGGCCCCCCTGTCCCACTGCCAAGGCTGGAGAGCTCTGAAATCACCTCCTGTGAAGTGCCCGGGCAAAGACACCGAGGACTTTGCTTTGGTCTTGAGCTCTCCTTCAGGCATCTGTGACAGCTAGAGATTGTGTCCATGTCATAGAATCATAGAATGGTTCGAGTTGGAAGGGACCTTAAAGATCATCAAGTTCCAACCCCCCCTAACATGGGCAGGGACATATCCTACTAGACCAGGTCGCTTGGTGGAGACTACCAGAGGAAGTTGCACATTCCCATCCTGTGATGTCCTGCTGTCACTGTTTGAGGGCTGTCTAAGTGCTTGCAGGAAGGGTGGCAGTTGGGAGGTGGGAGATGGACTCCTCTCCATGCTGCATGAGGAAGCACCAAGCACCACCCAGCAAGTCAAGTGCCGCGGGCATGGCCCCAGCAGCACCCACACACTCTGCTCTCTTGGATTCCACTGCCTCAGACACAGACCACCTCAATTTGTCACTGTCACCCACAATCATTCTGTTCACTGACACCAAACGAGCCTAATGGAAAAATGAAGCCATGGTTTATTTAGCAAGATTTAAGGGCACCCGTCTAGCTATAAGTTTGGAAACAAAAGTTCCAAGTAAAACAAATATAAAACTCAATCTCAGCCTATATGTAACAGCTATAGCCCTGTCTGGCTGCTCAACCTCTCATACCCTGGTGTCCGGAGACAAACCGCAGCCAGCAGACCTCATACGTCATATCCTGCTGCAAAACCCTACAGCTGTGGTCTTCTCAAGCCAACCTGTGGCACCACTGAGCAGTGCTTTTCCTTGATCCTGCTACTACATGCTACTGCCTCCATTTTTCCCCCCATCTGTCCCTCATTCCCCTCTTCTTATTTCTTTTCTTCCCTGCACCCTCCAAAAGCAAGTATGGATGGTGACCCCTCTTCTGCTTCCATACCGGGGCTTACCAGCTTTATTCTGGCTTAACGTGCTATAACCCATTCCTGTTCTCCAACTTTTACTTCCCTCCCAACCTAAAAGATTCTAGCTTTCACTTATAAAATTTCCTGATTACCTCAATAATCTGAAGACCAGCTGAGTAACAGAGTATAGTTATGACAGAGCATTGCCCTATTCTGCAAGTGAAACAGTATAAAAAACATTAACTCTATAGCTGTTTTATGAGCTCCTGATCTTTTCTAAGTGATTAGCTTTCTGTCTTATATGATATATGAGGACATGTTAATAACGGACGCAACTGAGCCAGGAACAAGTTCTTTTGGGCAAGCTGCAAGAGCAAGTTTTCCCTTCCCAGCTTTGGCAAGGGCTCAGTGTGACACTGGGTCCAACTGGCTGCCCCAGTGCAGAAGTGATCAATTACCCCTGGAGCTGCCAAAGGCTGTAGAAGGCCATGCTGGAAGTGAAGTCCCTCTTCCCTGTAGCTGGGTGGGTGAACACCTTCTCATAGTGGGCTCCTGTTGCCTGTGGCCTGCCCTGACTGCACCATAATGGCTTTTCTCCTTCACAGCATGTGGGCAAACACACAGACAAGCAGAGGCTGAATGAACAGACGGTCATCATTAACAGCATGCCTTTTCCTTCCCGGGCATTTTGCCTTGCTCATCTCATGTCCCAGTCCCACTAGCACCCCACTCACAATAGCCGTGCTCTGCTCCTTGCACCCTTGTGTGCGTCCACCAACGGAGCAGTAAGTCTTTAAAATGTCCATTGGAGCCGTCAGCTGTCAATGGACACCAGAGAAAAATACTCCAATGAGCAATTCCCCTCGCAAACCTTCCTGTTTACCTTTCCTCAGACTTGACAGTGTCTAAATACGACACCTAAATCAGACTTCCAGGGTCCAGCTGGTCTCTCCCACTGCAAGGGAAGATTTTCTTCTGCATCTTTGTTCAGGATTCGCCTGCCCTGACTGACCAGCAGGAGCCAATGGGAAGAGACAGGGTGTCTTCAGAAAGGGATTCATCTCATCGTAAGACTTATGTCAGAGTTGTTCTCTGATGGTGCCTACACCCGCTCACTGGCCATAAACCCTTATTTCTTGTGTTTGTGTCCTGGGGCAGAACCACACGTCCTCTCAAGAGCCTCTCCCAAGACCTAGATATGCAAAAGCACTGCTTTCTTCCAAAAAACTCACCTCATATACCATACTCGAGCCCAACATTTTATTTTAGAGGTAGTCTTTGGCATACAAAATTACAGGGTTCACTGGCTTCTGAGCGAAAATTGGAGAACAAAGAAATCCTTCTTAGTTCTCAGGGAAATTACTTTGTTCCCAAAAACAGGAGAGGCTTCCAGAGAACACGGTCACCTGGTCCTGTCTCCATGGGGTGATGATACACATTGCAGCAAAACCCTTCTAATAGTCACTGCAATGAGGCAACAGAAACCAAACAGTCATTGCCCTCAGTCATGGGCTATTTCCACAGAGAGCAGAGCACATGGAGCCCCGCAGGTTGTGGAGCAGTCTGAGCTCCTCCTGGCTTCTTTCAGAAGCTTCCCCAGCAGGAACCATTAGCAAAACCTCCTCTGATTGCCGGGTGACACAGGTCAGGAAATGCCACCCAGAAACTCCTATCTGAGCCTGAATAGTTTGTGACTGAATGAGGGCATCTCTTTGAGGCACACATCCAGTCGCAACCGAGAGATGGCAAGTGACGGCAAGGCCACCACATCCCACTTAACAAAGGTGGTCAGGGAGCCATGGAGACGTATTAGTGACAATTTACCAATATCTGAAGCATTAAATAAATCAGAACAACACCTTTGCCTAAGAGGATGGCATCCTTGTGCCACTGGGGAAACGAAGGCAAAAAGCAGTGAAATTATTTGACCCAACTCACCCAGCCAGTTGAAACTGGAAAAGAATTTGCGTGTCCCAGTTCCCCGGCCAATGCTCCTGGAGGACCAGACCACAGGCCAGTGTCTTTAAGCTCCTGGGATACCCTCTAGGTCACCTTCCACATTTTCCTCTCAGAATATGCCTATAGCTTACTTGAATAAATAAGGTGGCCCCAATTATGTGGATTTCTCTCTTCTCAGTTGCTGTGAGCAGAGAGACCAATTTGCTTTACAGCACATGTGTTTTGTTGGAAATACACAATGTTCTAAGCTTAATACAAGCATTTTGGTATAAGCTGAATTTATACCTCACTGACTCTGAATTTGTAAAATGCCCAGAAAGAACAGCCACTCTGTTCAGCAAAAACCTTAAAGAATCATCACCACCAAGCCTTGCACTCCTCTGCTCTATCTGATTGCCTTGTAAAGGTTTACAAAATCCCCTATTGCAAAGTGTGATGTTGCTGACTTCTAACATGCCACTGGTTAGATCCCATCCACAACAACCTCTGGAGAGAGAGAGCAGGAAAGCAGGACTTACCTGGGTTGCTTTTGGAGGTGCGCACAGGGGTGTAATGGTTTTTGGACGATGTCCTGACTGGGGTGTTTTCTTTAGGGGAGGTATCTATGGCCGAGATAGTCTCTCTTTCACAGTGTGCTATTGGGATTGGTCCCTGCTGCCTTAAGATGTCAGCCAGAGCCCTGGGGAGAGAGAAATAGGGAAAAAAATACATTTTCACATGGTAAAATATGGCATTCAGTATTTTCACTTCCACAGTTGCTGTGCAAATCCAGCAGTAGTTGGAATTTCTACCATAAACAGAAAAAACCCAACAACAACAAAAAAATATGGCTTAAAAGCTCAGTTTCATTTTGTGTGTCTGCTGCATGTATTTACAGGCTTGCCTGGCTATTGTTTAGTTTTTCATATGCTTCCACTAATTCATTTCACCCCAGGGTTATGTTCTCTTTCCATCATTTTTCTTGCTGTCAGTGACAGTGCAGATGAACTGCTCTCCATCGAATAAAGCACTGCCTTCATAAAAAGTCAGCACTGAACATGCTGGAGCCCTAAGACTCAGGCACCATAGTCTTCTAAAGGTAACACCAAAACTGTCCTGCCCAAGCCAAAAACTATTTAAGAGTGAATCAGATCAGGAGTCCAGTCTCCACACTCCTTCAATCTTTTTTTTTCCTGCAGGAGGGTCAATAGGCAGCAGTGGTAGGAGTGGGTTTCTTAAAGGAGAAGCAGCAGTTCCAGAAGAAAAGGATTGAAGAGTTTTCCTGGGTTAATGTCAACACAGCCATTAGCCTACCTTTAGCTTTTTCCCCATTAGGGATTTCTTTAATGGTACTGAGGTCTCTCCACTATTTCCCAAGAAAAAGAAATGTCACACAGTTCAGTTGCATCCAGTGTTTTCCCCTTGGATGAGTGGATACTCAAAGATTTTTTTTTCCTTTGTGAATACCATGGACACGGTGGAATAATTATAGCGTGAAATGCACTGATTTTCTTAGTGCAGCCACAAGCTATCTCTTGAGCCATAGGAAAAAGAGGAAGGGGGTGGCTTGTGTGGATTATAAGGGACAGTGGCATTTTAAAGATGATAGAGTTTGAAAGGTTCTTTTCTCTTGGCAGAGGGAATATGCCTAATGTCACCTTGGGTACCAAGAAAGATGTAAGGAGGAGAGATTCATTCATTGCATATTGATGAGAATGGTGCTGGTGTTGCTAATATCTTCTACCATTCCTTAAATGCCATATTTCTGGTCTTTCATATGAGAAACAGTTTGGGACCTGAGTCCGTTCCATTTTCCAAATCATTTCCTCTACAGACTGCTATCCTTGTGCATAATGAATTGCAACACTAATGTGCTCTACAAAAGAAACTCTTGGAATATCTCAGAGGCTCCAGAAGAGGATTACATTAGTTCACAACCACCTTGCACACAACGAGAAAATTTTTCACTTTTTTTGATTATGTATGTGTTTTAGAGAGAGCAAGCACAGAGACTATAACCAATCATATGGTAAGTACACGTGCATACGGCTGATACATATGGAGCAAAGGGATTGTCACATGCAGGGACGTGAGAGCACAGATCTTTTTTTTCTGTGCTAAGGCAGGCTCAGAGAGAGGTGAAGGCAACAGCAATAAGGGATAGATACTTAGACCTGCCCCAAGTCAGGGCTCCTTTTGTTTGCTCCTACGGTTATTCCACACTGAAGAAGAGGAACTGGTATTTAGTGTTCCCCCAAAGATGCTGAATCCCTATTGATTGACACATCTGTGTGTGCTCACCATCTTTTACAGTCATGCCTGAGGTATCTCAAACTGGTTATCAACTTACAGGACGTGGTTAAAATTGGCCCCTTGCTCGAGATTGTACAGAACGTGAGTGGCAGAACAAGGACCTGAAGCCCTGTCCTGTGCAAAACTGGATGGTTCCCTCCCAAGGAAAGGATTTGCCCAACCACTGGTAATCCTGATGGCTTTTCTAGGCAAATATCTCCCCACTGCATTACAGACCTCGCTGATTGGGGAGGATGTGGGAAACTAATGAGATCTGTCTTTTTGGCACCAGCATCCGGTACATCCCGTTGGAGATAACACATTTTCTCAAGACAGCAGGTTGGCAGAACTGAGCCCTTAGTACACATCTCCAAGATATATTAAGCATCAGATGACCATTTAATGGTATCTGCAGTACAGAAATGCTAAGAGTAATTTTTCAATCAAAGAGATTGTATTAGGACCATTATTTACTAGCCCATGGTGGCTTGGGCTCATTTTGAACACTTTTCTAAGACACTCTTGGTGTCAAGAGTGCAATCACTCAGGGTACAGAGGAAGATGACAGTGTGGATAACACTAAAACACTATATACCACTTAGCTTAATATAACAGAGCCATCTGGCCACGAAAGATCAGGTCAGGGACTAGTGTACACTCGGAAGGGGCTGTGTGGAATGAAGTACACAGAAGGCCTACAAGAAACTCAAAGATGAAAAGTGGGGCTGGAGGTACTGGTGGGATGGAAATTGAAGAGTACAAATCAGTTGTCTCTGGAGCTGAGTTTGTTTAACCTGACAAAGAGGGGCTAAGAGAGGACCTCCATCCCACTGCTGGGGAGCTGCAAAGGAGACAGAGCAAGGCTGGTCACAGAGATGTAAGGCAAAGAAGACAATAGCACATGTTGCAATAGGGGGAATTCCACTTGGTCATAAAAATAAAAAAAGTCACAATGGGATAGCTAAACACTGAAACAGGGACCCACAGAGACTGACGGATCTCCATCCTTGGAGATCTTCATATTCAGCTGGATAAGACCCCAAACAACCTCCTCTACCATTGAATTTGGCCTTGCTTTAAGCAAATGACAGGATGAGGGACCTCCAGAGGTTCCTTCCAACCTAAATTCTGCTATGATTCTGAGTCTAGGACCACCTAACATTGCAGGTCACCTTGTTTCTCCTGAAACTGTTGTATTTTCTCCTACTACTATTACTCTCTGAATGGGGTTTGATACAGTCCTAAGGATGTAGCTTCCCTGCCTCCTGGATGGACAGTTGAACTCATTCACTAAAAATACTTGAGGCAATTAAAGTGAATATACTCTGGAACAATTGGAGCCAGTGAGAAGTGCCTCATCCTCTCATTCATAGAATCACAGAATTGTTGAGGTTGGAAGGGACCTTTAAAATCATCAAGTCCAACCATCAACCCAACACTGCCCAAACCACGCTAACCCATGTCCCTCCGCACCACACCTGCTCAGCTTTTTAGTACCTCCAGGGATGGAGATTTCATCACTGCCCTGGGAAGCCTGTTCCAATGTTTGATTATCTCCCTGAGAGCCGAACCCTGAGCCCGCTGCCCTCCATGAGGACAAAACCACATGTTCAGGATAACACTTCAGTTTGTGAACAGTTTCTCATAAAACTGCTTGGTTGTTCCTTGGTTACAGCCAGGACCTGAACTCACTGGTCCTGGCCACAAATGAAAACACAACTCAGATAAGAAAAAATTGAATCCTTTCTTTGTTTTTCATCCTGAAGAGCTACTCTCTGGGTTAGTTGCTGGTCACAATATAATAAGGAAATGATTTCAAGTTGGGTGCCAGACACATGGAATCGAGGAGACCTACTTTCAAATGAACTGAAGAACTCACAGGTGATAGGAAAGCAATGTCTGTGGTGTCAGAGTATACACGAGATAACTGACCGTAACCATGAAAAGCAGACCTAGCTCCTAAGTGTATGGCAATAAAATAATGAGATTTCAGCAATGCTGGAGACATAACCTTGTTATGCCCTAAGCACACCAAACCGTGTGTCCTGAGTGCTCACTCTTTGTCTTCTTCTTTAATGTCTACAGAGAGAAAAAAGACCGTTTAGCACCAGCAGAAAAAAATATTGTAGGTGGAGGAGAAAGTCAAACTTGGATCAAACTGGTTAGTTCCTTGCCAATTCAATCACATAGATGCGTGTGATCCAGTTTATTTCCATAAGGCACAGAGCACCGGGTCCCACGCTGGGGGAAGGTCAGTCACACTTCGCTGAGGAAGGACTTGGTTGGTACAAGTCTCCTGGGTACAGCTGTCTAATTGTCCACTGGAAAAGCTTCAAGCAGGGTAATAGAGTCACTTGAAATATTGGGTCTTGCGTGTGCAGCCCTTTGGGTACAATTAGTTCCCACCGATGCCAACAGCATCCTAATCACCTGCACAAGGCTATGACACACTTCAGAAATCTTTTCAACAGCATCCTAATCCCATAGCCACAAGGCTATGACACACTTCAGAAATCTTTCTGTGACGACACATCTCTTATCTCAGGGAAACAAACCTCACTCACTGGAACGTGCTACCTGTGGCAGCGGATGGAGCCACCAGAGCTGCGTAACTGTACAATCATATCCTGAGATAATGACTTATGCAGCTTTTTCATTAACGTCATTTACGTGAGAACATGAAAGCTGCTTTCCGTGTAAACCCAAAATAGACATAGTGACATCAGGAATGTTGTTCTGGACCAGCAGTGGGGGAGAAAAGCCTACTGATGCCTTGCACGGCAGGACATCCTGAGGCAGAGCAGGTCAGGTCCTGCTGTCAGGTACGTCAGCAGGGAAGGTTCTGAGGCAATTTTGGACAAAGCGAGTTCTGTGGGAAGAAACACAGTGGGACGAACACCCTAATGCAAAGAAGCAGTTGTGGCCATTTCTGAAAGGCAGGGGGCAGAAAAAAAAAGGTCATGTTGGAAATACAAAGCACCAAAAGGGATGGGTGTAAACAGTAGGGTAGGAAGGTCAGGCATCAGCTGGGGCCCTGATGTAGAAAGATGAAATCAAGACACTTTGCTGAAGAGAAAAGAGAACGAAGAAAAGGCAAACTGGGAGAAGGGCAGTGGTAAGGAAGGACGGAAAACCAAAGCAGAACAAGGAGAAAGTGAGCAGAGTGGTATAACATGGAGGCAACAGGCACGACCAAACCACAGCAAAGACCAGGCAGGGTGTGAAGTCCAGCAGCTTTGTGGAAGGTTCTAGCACAGAGATGTGGGAGCGAAGAGAGGAGCTTCTTTGTGCAACAATGCAGACTTTGTCAATCATCAGTAATGATTTTTCAGGCTCAGGGAGGTGATCCTTCCTCTCTACATAGCACTAGTGAGACACATCTGGAGTTCAGTGCCCAGTGCTGGGCTC